CGATCCCCCCAAAACCCCAAAACCCCAAAACCCCATAAAGGCAATGTATTTGGAAAAGATATAAAATTATATATCTGAATGGAGTTTGTGAATGAAATAGAGACAAATGTGTTAGAGCAAGAGTATAACCATGGAAAAGAACTTATGGGAAGAAAGAGAGGAAAAGAATATTACACCCACTACACGAATGAAGTCGAAATGCTTTATGCAGACTGAGGCAAGGTAGGCTCTTTCATATAAGATTTAGCTGTTCCAGTCACCTAAGTTCAAGAAGATTAAGAGATTAATTGTATATGATGAAGAAACATTGAGAACATTGAAAAGTTCCTGAGAAACTAAGAAAATACAGAAAGCATGCAAGAAAATTCAAAGGGTGAATGTAAGCAAAATAAAGAAGATGAAACTGTTTGTTGTTGGAATTAATGATTTTGGAGAGTTTAATAGAACAAGTCTTCATTCTCTGCTGAGATATGCTCCTAAAGTATCAGGTTTTCTAGAGTTTTCTAATTTTTCATTCTCCAAACACCACATGCAATACCTTCTCAACTCTATCACTACTCTCAACTCCATTCGTTTCATCTCCTGAAAACTCAACACAACAGGCATCAAACTCAACCCCACCAGATCCATTTCCATCACCCAAATAGACCTCAGAAGCTGTATCTCAGCCAAAACTTGCTCCAGAACTTTCCCTATTGATCTCCGTTCTCTTCTCATCTGAATTTCCAAATCCTCGCTTACAGACTCGGTGAGAACCATCTTCATGAAGAGCTGTGGGATTTCAATGAAAGTACTAGAGACTCTATCAATAGAATATTGTAAGGGCAAAACTACTATTTACTGCTATGATAAGCACTTAGGAGATTATCGAGATATGCCCAAGACTAACCTCAAATGTACATTGTTTTAGATGAGGTTTAATCTATGAACTTCAATGATATATTTTATAAAAGGGGTTTTGGGGTTTTGGGGTTTTGGGGTTTTGGGGTTTTGGGGTTTTGG